TTTTTTTTTTTTTTTTTTTTTCCCTTTTTTTTGTAATCTCTATTGGATAGGGCTCTCCTTTTTGTACATTTCATTTAATCAACGAAATTGTTTCCCATCCGAAAAAGCTCCTTCCTGCTACCTTCGGACTCTGCCCGGTTGACTTTTTCTTGTCTCTATGACAAACAGAAACTAACACTGTTTTTGAAGAGACAAAGTTAGTAAATAGGCTAAAGGCTTTATAACTACTCGCATAATTCACATTATAGATGTTACCCAGTTGTAGTACAGTGGCTTATCATAGCCACAATCATATTAACTCCTGCACATGCAAACTCATGCAGCTTTAACTCATGACACAACCAACATTTATCACCCAACTACTCCACCAAACCTTTTCATTAAATGTTGCATGAGTTCATAGTTTTCCAGCTAAATAATTTTATTCATAATGGTTTCTTGCTTTTGCAGGAAAGAAGAGGAAAGCAAAGAAAGCCGAGGGAAAAAAATTTGTTGGCTTGGGATTTGGTAAAGGTATTTAAAACGAATTACCTTCAATAACATCATTTCTTCATTAAAAGGGTCCTTATTGATTGGGTAGTCTCAACCTCCAGCTTCCTTCAATAAAAGAAAATCTAAGGTGGGTCATTCTGACTTTCTTTATAAGTTCTAATTCATGATTCAATTGCAAATCACAGCGCTAAAGAAGATGGATCCCATTATTAGCGAAGTGTTGGTGTTGTTCTTTGCGTTTTTGCTTGGGAGTGGAAATGCTCAAGATTCTACCACTTTGGTGCCTGCTATCATTACTTTTGGTGATTCTGCCGTGGATGTGGGAAATAATAACTATCTTTACACTATTTTTAAGGCCAATTACCCTCCATACGGTAAGGACTTTGTGAATCATCAGCCCACTGGCAGGTTTTGCAATGGAAAACTTGCAACTGATTTCACTGGTACGTGCAAAACCTTTCATCTCCGTTGAAACTTAAACACATTATCCTTGCATGATGTATAAAGTCGTCGGTGTCTTTAAGTGCTCTCGTCGGTGTTATGCCTCCTCCTCCTACTTCTGGTTCTTCATGTGTCTTGGGAGAAAAATCCATTTGATTTCTTCTTTTGTTGAATCTACCACTTCCAATTCAAGTTTTAATTGGAATCAGATGATAGTTATACTGATTTTCTCTCTATCTCTCTCTTTCTCGTTTTTCTGCAAAACTATAAAGAAGTAGAACAAAATATGATTTTACAGATTTATCTGTTCCTAAGATCTAAACATGCTTTTAGGAATTTTTCCATAAAAACAGAAATTGGAAGCAATATTCAAAGAAGCAGAATTATCAAGTTGTTATTGACTGTTGAGTTCGCATACCGTCTTTCAAGAACAGCTGCTAAATTTAAAGCCTGTAATTATTATTATTATTCTTTTCTTCTCTCCAGCTCAAAATTTAGGATTCAAGACCTTTCCATTACCGTACCTTAGCCCAGAGGCATCAGGTAAGAATCTTCTCATTGGAGTCAACTTTGCTTCAGCTGCATCTGGTTATGATGAGAATGCTGCCTTCTTAAATGTAAGAATATTAACCTTTGCTTTTTGAAGTAAATATCAATCTGAGCAAATCATCCCTTCTTCTGTACTTACTTTTTTACTTTGAACTCGGTGAACAGCATGCACTCTCACTATCCCAACAAGTTGGGTTGTTCAAGGAGTACCAGGCCAAGCTGGCTAAGGTAGCTGGTAATGAAAAAGCAGCATCCATAATCAAGGAGGCACTCTACTTGCTAAGTGCAGGAAGTGGTGATTTTCTGCAGAACTATTACATCAATCCTTATATTAACAAGGTCTACACAGCCGATCAGTACGGGACGATGCTCATTGGAGCTTTTACAACATTTGTTAAGGTATTTTCTTACTGTTGCAAAAACCATTTGGTTTTCGAGGCCATTCACGGTCAAGTATAAAAGACATATCGAATGAACTACGTTGGATTCATGCATTTCTGATATTATGAACAGAATATATATGGTCTAGGAGCTAGGAGACTTGGAGTGACTTCACTTCCTCCATTAGGTTGCTTTCCCGCTGCTCTCACCCTGTTTGGCAACCATCAAAGCGGTTGTGTCTCAAGGATCAATACTGATGCGCAAGCCTTCAACAAGAAGCTGAATTCTGCTGCAGAAAGTCTGAAAAAACAACTTCCAGGGTTTAAAATTGTCATCTTCGACATTTACAAGCCACTCTACGATGTCATCAGTTCTCCATCTAAAAATGGTAAAGTTATATGTTATTTAAGTCGGTGTGTTGCTTTTTGCTTGTAGCCCATTGTCAGAAATCTTTCTCTCCATCTTGCTTTCAAACTCTCTTTCAAAGTCTCTCAACCTCGGCTTTCTTAAACATCCTTCCCAAATCGGGGCTAGAGGCTTGAGCATTCATTATCCGGCCATAGGCGACACGATCTTAGGTGGGCTCGACTCAGATGACTAATTTTCTCCTGTTCTTTCTGTTTTTGGTTAGGCTTTGTGGAGGCCAGAAAAGGGTGCTGTGGAACAGGGACAGTGGAGACAACATCACTTTTGTGCAATCCCAAGTCCTTGGGTGGAACTTGCTCTAATGCAACTCAATATGTGTTCTGGGATAGTGTGCATCCATCAGAGGCTGCAAATCAAGTTCTTGCCGATGCCTTGATTCTCCAGGGATTCGCTCTCCTCTAGATCACTAAATTCCATGCCCCTCATCTGCAATGCAAAAGTTTGTACTGTGCTTTATTTTATTTATGTGAGGAAATTTGTTCCATGTAGTGATATTATTATAAGTTACTTGTGTGATAATCCTGTTTTGGGAGTCTGTCATATTGTAAGTTTTAGGTTAATTAGGCATGGAATTGGGTTTTCCATGTGAGTTTATGATCTATAAAAGCTGGTAATTAGCATTAAACATAGATTTTGTAGCTTATGGGTGAATTAAATTTGAAGGCTTTGGATGAATAAATCCTTATACCAAATCAAAAGCTTGGGTTCTTAACATCAAGTCTGGAACTGAAATTCCGGTGATATTAATTCTCTGCTCATTTCTTAACCTCTCTTTAAATTTTTCTGGTTGGGAGATTGTGACTCTTATGATATAATTCCATTTTCTCTCTTAGATTGCCTATAATTATACTCTCTAATAGGAACAAAAATGGTTTATATTTTTTAAAATAAGAAATTTATTTATTTTTTTAAAAAAAATTATAAATAGGAATCCTCTATGAACAAATTTATAATATTTTTTTAATTCTAATTCAAATTAAATATTTTCCCATCCATTTAAATACCCTTTCAAGAATGAATTTTTAGGCTAAATTAATAAGAATATTAACTTTCTTTAAAAAAAAAATTAAAATAGTTTTGAATGGAAATCAATTTATTTCAAAAATACCAATTTTAAAAAATGTTTTAAAATATAGTTGAAGGTAACAAATACTCCTGAAAATTTAAAATTAATACTAACCCCCTTAACTTTTATATAGAAAATTTTGCGGTCCCTGTTAAATTTTAAGGTTTCTAATGGTGAAAGCTTTAAAAAAAAAAAAAAAAAAATTAAAAATATTAATTTTAAGGGCCATTCTCATATAAGCATTTTTAAATTTATTTTTTTAAAGAAAGTATTAGTAATAAAACTTTTAAAATGATGAAAATATTTTTGAAACTCTTTTTTTTTTAATTTAAAGATATTATCGAATGATTCGGAAAGTGAATGATTTTTTTTTTTTTTAAGAAAGTATGATTATTTTTATTAATTTAGGGAATGATCATGAGTTTATAAGTGAGGAATATTAACTCCATTTGTACAAGGCATTTTAGAGAACCCAAATCAAAGCGATGAGAGGTTACGTTCAAAGTAGGCAATATCATACCATTGTGGAGAGTCGTATTTGTCTAACATAGTATCAGAGTCATGCTCTAAACTTAGTCGTGCCAATCTAACATGGTATCAAAGCCATGCCCTAAACTTAGCGTGTCATTAGCCGTGCCGATAAATTGGTAAATCCTCAAACATCGAACAAAGGACTCCAAAAGAAAAGGAGTCGAGCCTCCTAGAAGGCAATCAAAATGACTAAGACTCCTTAGCCTCATTAAGGGGAGATATGCTTTGTTCAAGGGGAGTCTTAGATGATGAAAGTCTTATACTCAAAGTGGACAATATCATACCATTGTGGAGAGTCGTGTACGTAGCCCATTTTTTATCCAAATTTCTTCTATGTAGTGTAATGGTGAAGGGAAGTTGGGGGGTGTAATTGGAAGGCTTAAATCCTCCATCGTCGTCTTTATGTAAAACCCTGAATAATATACTGTGTGATGCAGCTCTCAGACATGAAGTCCCTCAGAACAATTTTCTTTTCTCGAAAGCACTTTCTCATTTCCACAATCTCCTCTTCTTCTACTCCATCGCCCATCTCCTCCCGCTCCCGCCTCAATCCCAGCTCTTCCCTCTTTCACTGTGCCGGCCGTTTCAACGCCGCGCAGCTGTCAACTACTGACGTCCCTGCTCCGAACGGCAACTGCCTCGCCGCTTCCGGTCCAGGAAACGGAAAGGACCGCGGTGTTTGGACTATTTACGACCCCGTTACGAGTAAGTTGCTTACTCAAAGGGTCAAAAGCAGTAGCGATAGAAAAGATCCCGAACCGAGCTTTGGAAATGAAACCTTCGGAGCTTCGTCGAGAAATGGAGATGGGACTGAGGAGTTCTTGAACGAGAAGACTTCGGAGAGTGTGAGGAAAGTGGGTTTAGAAGGTGGGTCTGTTAGTAGGCCAAAGTTGGGGAAGATTGTGGGATCGAAGAAGAAGAAGAGCAAAGTTTCTTGGGTTTGTTCGAGCTGTGGCCATAGTGAGGGGCAGTGGTGGGGAACTTGTCGCTCCTGTGATATGGTTGGGACAATGAAGCAGTTTACTGAGGGGGATGATACTGGAGGAGGGAGTCGAGGGTTTGAAGTTTCAGAAAATGTGGTTCGAGCATGGCTTCCAAAGCAGGCCACCGACGTGCATCCTCTGCGGTTGACAGATGTGAACCGAGGGATCAACACTCTGGATTGGAGACTTCCTTTGTAAGTCATATTTTGCAACTTTTATGTTCTTTTAGCTCTCTAGAAAAAACTCATAAAGCTCAATAAAGCAGTTCCAATTAGAGTGAGTTTAAACGCAACGTTCTTTTAATCCATAATTGCTTTTCAACCTTACCCTTGATGGAGTTTAGGGTAGTGTGATGAATTCATATGACACTGTATGAATATATTGGATGTCCGACGTTGATATGTGGGAAACTTCTTTGAACCTTGCTTGATGTTTAGGCCTGGTCCCTTTGGAAATGAAGTGGCGAGGGTACTTGGTGGTGGGCTGGTTCCAGGTTAGTTTAAAATTCAAGTTTCTTGTACATATTATTGTGATTCTGCGTAATAATTGCATCTTGGTCTTCTTTATTTTATTTGCTTCTATGTAGAATTATCTAATATTATCATTTGTGATTTTAATTTTCTGTTAGATGACATGGCATTTTTCTTTTCATAAATATTTCACCCTTCATGTTTCCTTTGAAAAGCTAAATTTTAGTGTCTATTTTGTATCTTCCTGGTTTTTAAGGTTCTCTGGTTTTGGTTGGTGGTGATCCTGGTGTTGGCAAGAGTACATTGTTGTTGCAGGTATGAAGACATACAGTCCTATTTGGTAGTTATTTGACGTTATATTTTACTATTATCTTATTTATACTTCCAATTTTTTTGGTCATGGTGTCAAATAACACATTTGATTTGAAGATTGCTGCAATTTTAGCTGAAGCGTGTGGTGAAGGCGATTTGACATCGGTTATTTATGTCTCTGGTGAAGAGGTTACCTTCCTAACAGTCTAAGATGGTTAATTTCCATTGTTCGTTTTAAAAATTCTCCGAACAAATGTCTAGGACTCTAGCTGAGTTCCTTCCCTTGTATTCTTATCCATTTGTCCTTTGGCAGAGTGTGGATCAAATTGGAAATAGAGCAGATCGATTGAATATTGAAACAGAGAATCTTTTCTTGTATTCAAGTACTGATGTTGAGGTGCACGATATGTACATTTTCTTGCTCGATTTTTTATTATTATTGCAAACATGTGATCTAGGACTCTAGGTGTTAGGTTGATCGACATTCAAGGTTGAGTGTATTCGATAAATCATAAAGGATATGTAGTACTTATCACAAGTATATCTGCTAATTATTTCAGGATATATTCGAGAAGATTCAGCCTCTATCTCCTAGAGCCTTGATCATCGATTCTATTCAGACAGTTTATTTGCAAGGAGTAGCTGGAAGTGCAGGAGGAATTGGACAGGTTAGAAACATTATTCTAGCAAACATTTGTTCTATTGAAACTTTTTTATGCTTATCCACTGCTTCACCAGAGTCATACAGTGGATTCAGAACTATATAATTCACCCAAGGCTGAAATCTTAAGAACTCCAATCTTGACAGGTGAAGGAATGCACCTCGGCCCTTCTTCGTTTTGCAAAGAGAACCGGCATCCCCATTTTATTGGTTAGTAATTTCAAGTTCTTTCTTATGAGATTTTCTCTTGAATATGAACTAATACTTGTGATAAAGTTTAAAGCAAGAATTACATCAGATATCTATCTCCAAGTAGACATGCGAAGAAACTCAAGATCACCCTTTTTCTTCCATTCAATGGCTTTTTGATGTCGACATCCCTGTCTTAGTCCAAATTGTTCAAACGTTGTTGTAACTTTTAAATGACTTTATGTATTTATTATTTTTTCTTTGGTCTTAACTGGAAGGAAGCTTCCTTGTAGCTTCTTCTTTAACCCTCCGTGCTTTTCCCACCATTTTTATATTTCATTTTTCAATGAAATACTTTCTTATCCAAAAAAAGTGTGTTTCTATTAGTCACACCCCAATTCATCCTTCATTTTGATGATAGTAGATGTTGTGACATAAATGCTTCTTGTTCAAATGCTATTTTACTAGTTCTTGAATTCTCAATTGTTTGATTTTTCCATCAAGAATTGATCGCCTGGGATCCTCCTACCAAGATGAGATTTTATGTCATTCCTGTTGAATTTTACTTACTGTTCTTAAGACGAAAGTAATACTCTACCGACCGTTGTGTTCATTTAGAGTGAGCTATTAGAGTAGCTAATTGTTTAATTTTCATGGAGTTCTTGTTTGACCTATGGTACAATAAAAAAAACTTAATTTATGAGTCTTACTCTCTAAAAAATCTTATATATATACATATGGGGTTATGTATTTATACATTGGAAGTAATCCTTTTTTATATGCACGTTCTGATCGTTGAAATACTTCAGATTGGACATGTGAACAAATCAGGAGAAGTTGCTGGACCTCGAGTTCTAGAGCACATCGTGGATGTTGTACTGTATATGGAAGTGGGTACATGCACATCCCTTATTACTTTTATCATTTTTTTATAGCCATGCATTTCAGTCATATTATCATCAGCTTTGTCAGAATTTAAATCTTAGACTAAATTGCTAACGTGGGATGAATAGGCATGCCTTTGGGCTTTGATTTTCAATGATGCATTTGTTAAGTATATGAATATTAATGCGCTCATTTGTTTTCATCTAGAAATATATATTTAGTGAATCTTATTAATGATTAAAACGACACGGTAGGAGCACTTTCAGTTCCAGCACACCTTTAATTTGATTTCATATGTTCGTATGAATATAACCAACAACATGGGTAGTTTAAGTAATTTCACTTGTTCTTGAGTTGGTCCTATTTTATTATTCTACTTTATGAAGTACTTAAAAAATAATTTGTGTGGGAGGAAAAACGAGTAAAGATGATGATGAAGTGATTTGTGGATTGACTAGGGGGAGAAATGCTCGTCACATCGGCTACTACGACCAGTGAAGAATCGATTTGGATCAACAGATGAGCTTGGAGTATTTGAAATGTTGCCATCGGGACTGGAAGTGGTGTCAAATCCGAGCGAGATGTTTAGAAGGGATAACAATGCAAATTCGAACTCGGAGTATTTGGCAGGACTTGCTGTTGCAGTGATCATGGATGGAACTCGCACCTTCCTGCTTGAAATTCAGGTACTTCTTCACTCCAATCCCCTCCAAAGGATACACATTCCATTGTTTTGTTATTAAAAGTATTTATCAAGTTATAATTACTTTTGACTCTTTAAACTTTGAGGGTTATGGGTTGTGTAGGCTGTCTTGCACGTCACTGAACTTTAAAAAAGGTTTTAAATTTTATTTTTTAATTGGTCTTCGAACTCTTTTAACATCTTTGATATATTTTTAAAATTGATGAGCCTAATAGATACAAAATTAAAAGTTCAGAGACGCATTAAATACCTGTAAAGTTTAGAAATCTATCAAATACAGAAAGTCCTAAAAGATAGACTAAACTTGTAATTTAGTCCTAATATTTTTGTTTTATATAATTTTTAAAGCAATATATTTTATTATATTTTTAGAAAAAATGCCCTCCTATTTATTAGTTTAATTATGTTGGAACAACTTTAAAACACCGTGGAATCCTCCCCCAGCTCAAGAACTTATTGGATTGTCCCGGACTATCATTTCTGTTGCTAATGAATAAATATATATCATTTTGATCATTGGCTACAAGAATTTTCTGTAGGCATTATGTTTGTCAAGATCATCCGTTTCTAGACACGTTAATGGGATTCAACAAAGCAAGGCTGATATGATAATATCGGTACGTTTTTAATTGAATTATTTGTAACCTTTAAGACGCATTGCTGTTGATCATAGTCTAAAAAATTCCTGAAGAACATGCAGTTGAGAAATACGGTCTTCACTTCACTTCATCTTATGCATAACACAAGAATGATGGATTTTGTTTTGATGAATAATTTACCCACCAACATCAATTTTAATGAACTTAAACTCTAGGGGTTCTGAAATTTAGCTTTCTCCCGTTGGAAGTCCAACATCGGCTAATTTAGGGAATGATCGTGGGTTTATAATCAAGGAATATTATCTCTATTGGCATGAGGTCTTTTGGGAAAGCCCAAAACAAAACCATGAGAGTTTATGCTCAAAGTGGACAATATCATACCACTGTGGAGAGTCGTGTTCATCTAACATGGTATTAGAGCCATGCCCTAAACTTAGCCACGCCAATAGAATTCTCAAATGTTGAACAAAGGACTCCAAAAGAAAAAGGAGTCGAGCCTCGATTAAAGGGAGACGTACTTTGTTCGAGGGGAGGTGTTGGATGAAAGTCCTACATCGGCTAATTTAAGGAATGATCATGGATTTATAATCAAGGAATACTATTTCCATTGGCATAAGGCCTTTTGGGGAAGCCTAAAGCAAAATCATGAGAGCTTATGCTCAAAGTAGACAATATCATATCATTGTGGAGAGTCGTGTTGATCTAACATCTCTCACTTTTGTTTGCCTGCTCATGATTTCATGTTTATATAAAGGAAAACTGGTGGATGGATAAAAGTGCAAATTATCATTTGATGTTGTTAATATCAACTTAATGAACTCTTTATTGATTAGTTTTTAACTTCTGCATCTTATGAATGGTAGGTTCTCATGAAGCAAGCTGGGTTAAAGCTACAAGATAGCGTGAGTTGACAACTCCCCTTTTTTCTGCCCATCTACAATTATCTCACTCTGCTTGTCAGTGGAGTTCTTGTTGTCATTCTTCCCTTTTGGTTATGCTTAGATTTGTATTCTACTTTAATATTACAGGTCATTTTTTTAAATGTTGTCAGCGGGGTGACACTGACAGAGACTGCAGGAGATCTTGCGATTGCAATGGCAATTTGCAGCAGGCATGTGATTTCAACTAATCACACTTCTTACCCTATAATCACACCTTTAACAAATAATCCTTTTGTTGTCACTCTTCAGCTTTTTGGAGTTCCCCATTCCGAACGACATTGCATTCATCGGTGAAATCGGCCTTGGCGGTGAGCTTCGCATGGTAAGCACTCAATTTCAGTATTATTATTACACAAGTTCTGGCATGACTTGGTAGAGATCGTCTAGTATTTGATTTGTCTTCTTCAATGAAATCTCGAAACTTTATTAACGTTCAGGTGAGTCGAATGGAGAAGCGGATCAATACTGTGTCTAAATTGGGTTTCAAAAGATGTGTAGTACCCAAATCAGCTGAGAAGTGTCTAGGAGTGGTAGAATTGGGAGAGACGAGGCTGATAGGTTGCAGAAATTTGAAAGATGTTATCAACGATGTGTTTATGGCGAGAGATGGAGCTAGAAGTGTACAGTCTTTTGTTGGGTAGTTTATAAGCTTCTTAATTCTTGGTGTAAAGATGCAATGTGCGTAGATGTATTTTTTTGGGTCCTTCGAACAAACGGATTGATTTTACTCGATGAAAATGATGATAGTTTTTATATTGGCATGAAGTTTAGAGTTCAAGAAATCGTCTAACCGTCATCGTTTATCAATTACAAAAGGTGAAATACTATTTCACGCATTACTCAAGGATGTATTCAATCTCATTCTCATTGATTATTACGTAAGACCTACATCATCTTTTTGACTTACTCGATCATTGTTGTCACTATTTGTCATATATGTGAAACCGAAAACTAAAGATCAATATTCATATCGATATCGACATTTGAATGAGATATCGAGAATAGTATCTAGTTAACATATTTTCCTCCAAGTCATATTTAGGAGAATAAAAATGGAGAAATGACATATGGCTTAGTCTATTATATAAACGATAAATAACATTATTTTATTACATCAAATGAAAATTATAGTTTTTTTTTTATTTTAGAAGTATTTAATTATATATTTTCTCAAATTGAGTGAAATTTAAAATAATTGGTATTTCTTTTTAAATCCTTCATCTTTTTAATTTAATTTAGATATTAAATAAAAATAAAAATAAAAAAGGCATTTTTATTAGTTTATATACATATTTATATTATGGTGATCATATATCTTTTTTATTTGCAAGTAATCAATAACTAATAATATTTTAATTTGGAAGACTTATTTGAGATGCAATTGGAAGAAGATATAAACTAGATAAGTTTAAGGGTGAAAAAGTTTTTTCCTGGAGTAAATAAGTAGAATTACTGTGATAATTTTTTTTTTTTTTTTTTACTGCAGATTTATTGGTTCCAGGAACAAAAGCAAAGCATTTCCTTCTACCGCCCCGTCATAGCCACCATTGGGGTTTCTTTGAAAAACGGAACTCGAGGGAAAATAAGGCGAGCTTCAAGCCTCTCTAGGGTTCACTGCGAATAGTCTCCACCATGCATAGAATCGCCGGTTCACGACTCAGATCGCTCAAGGTCAGTCAAGACGTTCCTTTCGTGCATCAACTTTCTGCTTTCGAAGTTTTTTTTTTTTTTTTTTTTTTTTTTTCCGAACTGTGAGAAGGAAAATTGATGTTTTCAATGAATCTCTTTTGGGAATCGAAGAAAGATGACGGCGTTATAGATCTGGTCTTTGTTTTGTGTATGTTTGCTGCTGTTTGACCTCTTCTGCATTTGATTTTCGTTTGACGATTGAAAGCTTGACAATCCCTTTGGATCCTGTATTGGTTAGATAGTCATTGGATGCTTAGAATGAAAAATGCTTATACTCCATCCATTCGGCCATTGGAGCGATGGGCAATCATTTTAATGTCTTGATTATGCGACTAATTGGCATTATCATTACAGTTGTGGTTGCTGTAATTTTTTACATTAAAATGGTTCTTCGTTTGGATGGAATATGGGATAGGGATACTAGTCTTTTTATTCCTATTTTAAACTAGATTTATACCTTGAAATTGCATTTCGAGCATTGTGTATCTCGCATGAATGTTTATTGGAATGGCTGCTTGGCATTGTTTGTTTGTTTGTTTTTTGTTTTTTTTTTTTTTCAAAAAAAAAGCTTTCAAGAGATTGAGAGTGCTCGTGCAAAAGAACGTTTTAAGAAACAAGTAGCAAGTTGTTATAAAGAACCATTCGCGGTTTCTTATTTTTGTACTGTAATTGCCCGGAGTTAGAACCATGCGGCCAATTTGGGGGCATCCAGGTTTGCTACATCGGGTGCAGTTGCTGCAAGACCAACGTCTGGGGGCTTTTTTAGCTGGCTGACTGGAGAACGTTCAAGCTCGCTTCCGCCATTGGAAACACCTCTATCTGGCATTACCCTACCACCACCACTGCCTGATTACGTTGAACCAAGCAAGACCAAGATTACAACTCTTCCTAATGGTGTCAGAATAGCTTCAGAAACTTCTTCGGTATGTATGGAGTTTGGAACTTACTGTACATCTAGGCTCTTCTTGTTTTAATTTTTTATAGTTAACATATTTATTTATACATCATTCTGACAAGTTTTAGACTGGTTTTCTAACCAGAACCCTGCAGCCTCTATTGGGATATATCTTGATTGTGGTTCCATATATGAGACCCCAGTGTCTTCTGGAGCATCACATTTGTTGGAAAGGTTGGCCTTCAAGAGTACGACAAACCGAAGCCATTTGCGCATTGTTAGGGAAGTTGAAGCTATTGGTGGTAACACAGGTGCCTCCGCCTCCCGAGAGCAAATGGGATACACTTTTGATGCTTTAAAGACGTATAGTCCAGAAATGGTGGAATTGCTTGTAGACTGTGTCAGGAATCCTGTTTTCTTGGATTGGGAAATCGATGAAGAGGTAAATGGTCATCTAGCCGCCCCGTTGTAGAAGTTTTTCCATATGATAACTATGTATGAAAAATGGTAGTTTTGGACTGCTGTGTTCGTTGCTGATGTTTTGACTCCATGTGTTTCTTACAGCTGCAAAAGCTAAAAGCAGAAATTGCAGAACTTTCAAATAACCCACAGGGCTTACTTCTTGAGGCAATTCATTCTGCTGGGTATTCTGGTGCACTTGCAAATCCTCTTGTGGCCCCAGAGTATGCGTTAAGCAGATTGGATGGCACCATCTTGGAGGAATTTATTGCTGTGAGACCTTGCATTCTTTTATGACCACCCTCGTCTTTGGCTTTTTTTCCTCTCTTTTTTTTTTTCCTGTCCTCCAAGGAGGAAGGCCATGCAACCTAATTTTTTTTTCTTCATATATTTGCTTCCCTCAATATGAGGTAATTTAATTTCTTTGTTCCTTTTCTGTTTTCCAGTATTTGAATTTACACTTTTGGATTTCAGGATAACTATACTGCCCCTAGAATGGTGCTGGCAGCATCTGGGGTTGAACATGAGGAGCTTTTATCCATTGCAGAACCTCTTCTATCTGACCTACCCAAAGTACCTAGCCCAAAAGTGCCAGAATCTGCCTATGTTGGAGGGGATTATCGTCGCCAAGCTGATTCTGGGGTATGTATAAACTATAAACGTATTCTTGATTATTTATTCATAATTGTCCTCCAGACTGTGACCTTGACTGAGGTATGATGAATTTGAATTGGATGAGTTTTGTAGTTAAACCCATCTTAATCTCTAATCATTTAAGAATAACATACGGCAGAAAAGAAAAGGCAATTATCAAAGAATCGATTATTACTTGGCCGAGACGAACTATATAGTGTTACCTCACAGGTATATTGTTTTCTATTGCTTCATTTTCATATATTCACGTAGGCTTTTCATTTGAGCAGAGCACGCATGTTGCCCTGGCTTTTGAGGTTCCTGGTGGCTGGCATAAGGAGAAAGATGCCATTGTTTTGACTGTTCTTCAGGTGCCTCATTTTATTGACTTCTTGTCGTAAAGATGTTTATTTTCCTGTTATACTAAAACATACTTTTCAAATTATCTTGTTGGATTATTAATTATTCTCTTATGAATTCTATTAAAATCTCTCGATCCTGCAGATGCTTATGGGAGGTGGTGGTTCATTTTCTGCTGGGGGCCCGGGTAAAGGCATGCACTCGAGGTTATGTAAGTATTACACTGGTTCTCTGTTTAAGATTTGATTAACCTTTTCTTCCCCTCTTTATCTTTGGCCTGTTCTTTATTCTCTCCTCGATTCGTTATTTGATTAATGTGTGTTTAAATCTTTACACTTGCTTTGGATTTGAAACAGATCTCCGAGTTTTGAATGAGTACCAGCAGATTCAATCTTTTTCTGCATTTAACAGCATCTTCAATAACACGGGACTGTTTGGAATTTATGCTAGTACTGTAAGGCTCAATCTTACTAATTATTTTTGATATAGCTGCAAAATTATATGCGGAGCTACTATCTGATTATAGTTAGTCTTACCTTATTATTATTTTTTTAATCTACTTAACTATCATAATTTCAATTGCAAATCCCTAACTGTGGATGCAGGGTTCTGACTTTGTGGCCCATGCCGTTGATATTGCTGCATCAGAACTAATCTCAATTGCAACTCCTGGACAAGGTTTGCAAATTTTCGTCTATATTTCTGATATTTTTTTAATTTCTCTGTTTAATATTTCTTGCACTCTGTTTACTGCTGCAGTTTCCGAGGTGCAACTTAACCGTGCCAAAGAGTCAACAAAATCTGCAGTTTTGATGAATCTGGAGTCCAGGGTACTCTCTCTATCATCCACTCTGTCTGTCTTTTGAATGACCCCAGTTTTTGGGGTTGTTTTCACTTCTGCGCTGACGTATGAACTGAACTGAAAGCAGAACCTTCCATTTTAAAAAAGAAAATAAAGTCGGAGAAACTAATGCAAGCTGACACTTCCTTATCTTGCAGATGATTGTATCCGAGGATATTGGGAGGCAGATTTTGACATACGGAGAGAGGTACCTTGTGTGATTAAACTTAGCTTCCAGTACCTTGGCGTTTTTTCTTCCAACACATTCGCATATTACATCTTCCTCTGATTTCCTTTTACTCCATGGGCCTTCTCCTCTGCAGTATTAAGTTTTTGTGTCGTGTTTTTTCAATATTGCAGGAAACCTGTTGAGCACTTCTTAAAGGCTGTAGACTCGATCACTTTGAACGATATTACTAACATTGCTCAGAAAGTTATGTCTTCTCCTTTAACAATGGCATCCTATGGAGATGGTAATCTTCTAACTCCCAACTCTAATTAAGGAATCTTGATGTTATTATGTCTTAAAAGACCAACATCTTGAATCTTCATGTTTGGCGTTGCAGTTATTAATGTCCCGACCTACGAGTCTGTTAACAGAAGGTTCCACAGTCAATGAGATAGATACGTGTGCGTTTTCAAGCTCGCCATTTCTGATAATGTCTGTTCTTGTTGTTCTTCGCCTTGGAAGCAGTTTCGACTTTGTCCCGCAATTTGCAATAAATTTTTTGAATGAAAGCCTCATCATATGATGTAAAATTATGAGTTTGTTTTCAATTCATTGAGTGGCTCCCTGTGAATTGTGGAGTTTTTCACCCATTCACTTTGAATATTAACCCGGGTAGTTCTTGCCCTTTTCATAGCTTTGACATCTTTTCCTTTTCCCTATCTTTATATTCGCAGTTTTTGGAACAAATAATTTCGTGGATAACTTATATAATATATATATATATATATATATATATATATATATGAACTGGTTTAGCCAATAATGCATAGTTGTATGCTCAGAATTTTGCCTTAATTATACTTTCGATTAAATAACTTATATTTTTTATTACCAAAAAACATTTGGCCTCTATATTTTGACTTTCTTTTCATTTGGGGTAGTGCAATTTTTTTGTTTTTATTATAAAGAATATTAAAATTTAATGCAGGTTCTATGTTTGTAAAATGACGAATTGGTTAGGTAGGTATTACTTGTGTTTATAAATTATAAAGAAACAAACAAATTGCTATTTAATAAGAATCGACATTGATAAAAAAATTCATAATAAATCATTAAAAATGTTAGATTAAAAACATTTTCGTGGTAAATCATTACAGAATTTTAAACAAGTACAAACTAAAGTTTATAATTAAATTATTACTAATTTAACAATATAGATACTAAATTATTACAAGAATTAAATCATTGCTTTAATAAAGTACATTAATCCAAGTATTTTTTAACTTAGTTTTTAATGGATTGTATGCCTTATTATTATTATTATTATTGGAATACTAAAAAAATGGTCTTTCAATTTTTTTTTTTTTTTTTTAAATCAAATTGGAAAAAAGGAGACCTTTTAATTTTGATTTGGACTGCATTAAAATAAATGTTAAAAAGCAACTTTATTCATTAAAAGAAAGTGGGGCCCGGGGAAGGCCAGCCAAGAGCATCGGACGGTCATGATTGCATCTAAAAAAGAAGAATGGGAAGAATGATTGTGGATACAGCGAATCAGAGCCCCATCTGCCCGAACGAGTCTTTTGGATAAAAAAGAATTCCTCGCAAACGTGATCGTGGATCGTTCGATCAAATCCAAATCAACGGCTCACAACACATCAGGAAGGACCCACCAAAACTCAATCATACGGGTCCGGTCCTACCGCGGGTCCCACAAAGAAGGTCCATTTCTCTTTTCCAAGTTCGAACAACACTATATATACCCTCCATCTTCTTGTCCGAACCACCCAGAAAGGAGAGCGAAGAAACCAGACTCAAAGGAGAAAGGAAATTTGATTGATTCAGTACTCGGTGGAGATCGAAAATGTCGTGGCAATCTTACATTGATGATCAGTTGATGTATGAGGTCGATGGCCAACATCTCAAAGCCGCTGCTATAGTTGGTAACGACGGCTCTGTTTGGGCTCAGAGCTCCGAATTCCCCCAGGTTTTTCTCTATTATCTGATCAAATTCTTTTGTAGAATGGAGTATTTTTACTTGTATTCCTTTCTTTTTGAATCAATTCCATGCTATTCTTGTTTTTTCCCCCATCTTTTAGTTGTTGTAGACGTTATGATCTAATAGGCTCCACGATTTTTTGTGTCGGATATAATGAGCGACGCATTTGCCGAAAATCGACTATCTGCATCGCTTGTTATTATGGTCTTGTTGAGATCTGAGAGTTGTGACCTTCCATATTTTTTTAAAGATTTTTCGATTGCTTTGCTGAGATATCGTAAATTTCTATTGCTTTATTCTCGTATATTGACATGACAATGAGCGTATGCAAGAGCGTGGATCGGGAAATGGATTAATTGCTAAGAAAATGTCTGTAAACAGGAACTTGAGGGAACCTGTTTCCTATACATTTAGTTGCGTTTGGATTGCAAACTTTGTATCCGCAATGGTTATATATTCTTGTTGTTTTAAGCACATTTTTCAGTGCAATTCTGTTGGCTGATAGTAGTTTCTGGAACGAATTAACATTTAGCTTCTTTTGTTATTTAGTACAAGCCAGAAGAGATTTCTGCCATTATGAAGGATTTTGATGAGCCTGGAACTCTTGCTCCGACTGGGTTGCACCTTGCTGGATCGAAGTACATGGTTATCCAGGGTGAATCTGGAGCTGTTATCCGTGGAAAGAAGGTATACGTTTTGGTACCTGATATCTTGCCATGATTCACTTTGATCTTGTGATAATCAATCATCAAAATTGTTGATTCTATTTTATGGTTACTCTAATACACATCATGCAGTATTGAATTCACAGTTCGATCATTAGGCTTTCGTTTTTTTCCTTCTTGCCAGAGGATGTTGAATGTCCTGAACTTGTTGGGAAGATCATTTTGTTGTCTTTGCTTACCATCAAGGGATGCAATCATCTTGGACTTGTTTATATTTAAAAAACATGCATGTTTGCACAGTATTGCCATTTTTTTTGGTCAAAGTTTCATTGTTGTTTTTCTAAGATTTTAGCCTTTTCTTATTGAATTATCAAACCATTTTCCAATCCAAATCAGTTCCGAGGAAATTTCCACCACTCATGGTTGGTATGATTTTTTCAAGTTTGGGAAATTTCCAATTATCTTACATGCTTATGCTTATACTGCAACTTATTTGAACGCATGAAGCAATGAAATTCAGCTCCCAAGAGTTGCAGTACATTTTGGGGTGTGTTGCGTTTGTTTTTGTGTTAATCCATCCTACTGCATCCACTTGACAGGGCACTTCTGGAATCACTGTAAAGAAAACAAACCAAGCACTGATATTTGGTTTATATGATGAACCCATGACTCCAGGACAGTGCAACATGATTGTTGAGAAGTTGGGAGATTACCTGATTGATCAAGGCATGTAATTGAGATCTCAATTTCAGATGCCTTCTATTCTATACATAATTGGGATTTTGAGCTGGTGTCCTGCTTTTATGGCTGTGTATGAGTTGTTATTAAGAGAAAATAACAGTGTGAAGAATCAGGATGAAAAGCAAAGAGTGTGGTGATTTTGGTCGCTGATTTCTACCCATTCTATGTATTTTTGGCTTCTTTTTTTTTTTTTTTTTTTTTTTAATACACTGCTTCAAATATGAGTTTTTGAAAGCATTACACGTATGAGATTGTACTTATTATTGTTATTTTGGTTTTTAATATACTTACTAAGAGTTGTGATCGAGTAATGAGTATCTATTTCATGAAGGAGGTGTCCCACTTAAAGTTTCACTACTATTTATATTAGATACATAAATTACCAAACAGCTGGTTTCCTTCCCTTGCATCATGTGGTGAACTCAATATCTCTAAGTATTCTCATGGATATTATATGTTGAGTGGGTGAGACAATCCTAGATGGTGAATAGGGTCTTTACAACAAAAATATATATATATTTTAGTTTGCTTGATTTATCCGATTATCAAACCTTTTAGAAATAATTAAAAATAGTAATTTATAGATAGATATAAAGTATAAAAAAAAAAAAAAAAAAATCAAGATGATTTTATCTCTAATAAACTAGTATCTAAACCATATGAATAGATTCTAAACTATTATAAAAATATTAGACTTATCAGACCTCGTGACACGACTCCAAAAAAAAAGAGTTCTATTCAAAATAATTAAACATGCAATAAACTACTATAATATTTTTAAATTAAATAATATCATTTACACGGATCAAAATCCAACCATTGTACTACTACTTCAATAAGTTATAGATATTGGAAGCAATCAAATTTTAATCTAGACTTTTAAAATGAATTCAAATTAAGGTGGAGATTAGAAAATAAATAATAATGACAATAAGACAACCAAGATAGGTTTTTGATATAACTTATTGGATATAAACAAAGGGCTTTGTTTTGATTTATAATTTTTTTGGTTCAATTATGATTTGAGTGATTTAAGAATAAATTATTGATAATTAAGAGCAAATTTACTATCATCAATCAATTAATTTGGGATAAATATAAAAAAGACAACCTTAAACATATTATTTTGTAAAACTAACAGTGTGACAGAAACATAAACATTGAAGTTTTTTTTATTTTAAAAAAAGTTGCAAATAGTTGAAATGAGCTTAACGTTCAAACCCCACCCCTACCAGCAATAGTAAATATGAAAATAAAGGAGAAATTATCAACTATTTTCCTTAAAAAGAAAAAACCACATATTTATGTAAAAACGCACCGTTTTGATTAGATGGCATATTCGTAATTTAAATGAGTAAGGATCAATCCACGAAGCCCTAGCCGCGGTTCGTCCCCTTTATAAGCACTGCCCCCCCCCCCCCCCCCCCCCCCCCCCCCCCCCCCCCCCCCCCCCCCCCCCCCCCCCCCCNCGTCTGCTTCGTTTTTTTTTTGTCCGATCGGATTTCTGATATTGTTTTGTCAATGGCTCTGAGTTTTGAGTATTAGAGGTTGAAAAAGCAGGGATTGTGTGTATCGGCGTAGTGCTAATTTCAGTGCACTCTGTTCCGAAAGAGTTCCCTGCAACATCCAATCTTCAAGGGAAGGTGGGCAGTTGTGATTCATCCACCGTTGATTTTTCAACAATCATCTTCTCTACATCACATTTTTTTCTTCCTCTTTTAAATCTCTGTTCCTCGAGTCGATTCAAATTATTTATTCTGTTTTTTTTTTTTTTTTTTTTTTTTTTTTTTTTTTTTTTGTGNATTTGGTGATTACCGGTTCTCGTTTTAATCTCCTTTGTCATGAAGTTGGACTGATTTCTTTTTAGGATTTTGTTTTGGTTCTTTTATATGTTTAGGGTTCGTAATCTTCAACATGGTCATATATGGACTGAACAAGAGTTTTCTATAATATGGCTTGATTAATAATCAAAACAAGTTCTATATGAATGTTCTTTAATTTTCTCTGTATGTCAGAATCTCATTTCTGGAAAATAATGATTAGCGTCTTCTCTTCTTATCTTTCGAGGCAATTGTAGAGTACATTGCTTGTGTTTGCATGCGCATCTGTAACAGAAATGTTTCCCATTCAGAGATGTTGAACGATTCTTTAGTTATTTAGGAAATACAAGATTTAGATCTCTGGTTTCCAATTCTTGTTATCTAGTTTAAATTCCAATCTGTTTATTTTCCTAGTCTTATATGTTACACTAGAATTTATCATATGAATAACACCGAAAATAACCATAATTCCTCTTGATTTTATCTTGTTGATTCTAAATATCTGTATCAGAAATGAAACAGCATGGTTATTTAAATTAAAAGAGCATTTGCAAGAATGCCAAAAGACTACCAAAGCAATTATTGTTATTTTTTAAAATTTAATAACTTTTCGTATTTAGTCTATCAAAGTATAATGAAAAAGAACAGAGGTGTGTACAAAACATTGATCCCCAATGTAATTAAGTGGAGAGGGTGCAACAATATGGTTGTTCGTTGGCTTTGTGATGGTTCCATCAATTTACCATCACCAATGAATGATGCAATAAGAACTATGCTACACTACTTTGTCCCCCATCTTTCCCTTTTTTCTGAAATTGGCTTTGTGAACAGCCCGAGTCATTTGTTGTCTTTTAACACATTGTGCATCAATATATTTGGATGGCAAGTGGAATACCTCAAGTTTACGGTAATGTTTTCTTTCCTCAAGTGGAATACCTCAAGTCTACTGGGAAGATAATGTTTTCTTTTCTCTCGTCGGATCTCACAACCCACATATTTTCAGGGTCTAGTGTTCTCAACACTTTGGCATTTGTTACTCTTTCCAATTGATATAGGATCTCCATTAGTTTTTCTTTTAGGATTAGTTTTGATTTTCTAGCTCCCACTCTTGGTTTAGGCTTCTTTCATTGGATTGTTCCTAAATCAGGCCTTATAAATCCCCTTTGATTTTGTATCAAATACCCTCAGAAACCCCTCAAATTATTACAGATCTTCAAGTAGTTTTTTTTATTGGTTGGTTCTGGTTTTCTAATTATCACATATTATATATGTTTGTTATTGAAAATATAGCATAGTCAAGTATTAAGAAATCAGCAATCTCCAGAAAAGAAATACATCGACCCTGTTCTTAGGTGGATGGATAGATTTTCAGTTCTTCACCCCTTTTTTGAGCTTATCCCTTACTCTGCAAAGCTCAGTCAGTTCAATCAAAACCAGTGGACATCATCCTTTCCCCCACAAAGCCTAAACTTTTCTGTGTGCCTCCACTTTCTTTTGAGGCCTGCACTTCCCTGTAATTTCCCTTTTCACCAAATTATAAACTGCTGAATCGGTGCTACTAACAGTAACTACTTGATGTGCTGGAGAGGACTATCCATGCTCTATCAGGGGAAGTCTCGGTCTTTTACATCGCTATCAAGTGTGAAGAGCATAGAGTGAGTTGTACATGATTCTCAATAACACGAAAATCCCACATCTTATTTTCTTCCAAATCATACACTGCATCAGATGTTTGATTCAGAAGGAGAAGTGAATAGTAATTTAAAGATAGTAACCACTACACTCTTTATTAGAGAGATTAATCTAAATGGCCATCAGTTATGCAGAGTTCTTAAGAGAGTTGCTTTGCTGATCTCTCCACCAACTTCTAATTCTTTGAAACTTTCCATCTTTTATCTCAGTAAATGGTAGAAGAGGCATGAGAGAGAGCATTTTGAAAGAATGAAAATTCCAGATAGCCCCATTTAAGGAGTGTTCGTACTCATCAATTCCACTCATGTTTGAAGCTTCAGTGAGTGATTCTTCAATTGTCTTACACCCTCAGAGTTCCTCCAATTGAAGCAGCCTCAGTTACTTAGTGCACGTGCACTGAATGAAGCAAGGCTGTAGAGAACAAATTAATACCCATTTCACAATGTGAAAATGTGATATGATAGTTACCCAACATTTCTACCAAGTAAGTTAATATGTTGGGAGATTTCTGAAGTATATTCGTAGTCCATCATGGAGAAAAAGGAACATAATCCATGGATTACTACTTGAATATGCTAAGTTTTTTTACTCTTATATAAGGATGTCCATTCAACTATCACGAAACTATGGTTAATTTGTTAGGCAGCCAAAAAGCAATGGCTAAACAAATGAGAGACATCAACCTACTCTCTTCATAGTATGTGGTTGTGACATTCTCCCCCACTTAACTTAGCCCTCGATGACTTACTCGGGTCACAATCATATTGCAGATTGTTGTGACATTCTCCCTCACTTAATTTAGTATCGTCTTCGATGACTTTCTCGATGCGCATTCGCCCCGTTGATTGTGCAGATAACTGAACCTGGGAGAGTTCAGAAAAAAACAAGTTCCCAAGAGAATGGATTTGAAGGCATTTACTAGAAAGAAAGACCACAAGGATTGATGGTCTAAGAAAAAGTGAAAAAGTAAACAATGCAACAACCTCCAAAAAAGGAAATGGAGCATGAATGGGATGCAAAGGTATTGTATATTTTAGAAGTGGAAAAATATAACGGGTTATGAGAATAATTGGATCGCATTCTCCCTAATTTATCTCGTTTAGAGATTGTGAAAGAGAGTGGAGAAATGGGAAGAGAGAGGACTTGAAGGGAAGGAGAAGATGATGTACCTCAAAGGATATAATAGGTTTTGATGATACATCACACTAGACCCAAAAAAACAAACGGCACAAGAGATTATAGGCCGAAGACTCTTAATTGATCAATTTTTATTCTAACCGATAAATGATATCTATGATTATAGTTATTATTAGGCAAGTTAATCTTTTATTGTCTTTAAAAGTTAAAATTTTACCTAAAATTTTTTATTGTTATTTTTAAATATTCATAGTATTTTTTTAAAATTTGTTACTGAAATTAAATATATTTTTAATTTTTTTTTTTAAATTAAAATTAATTTTGTAGTTTTTTAAAAATTCTTTTTAAAGGTATTATGTTTTTCAAAATTATAAATGTATTTTTTAATTTTTTTTATACAGTTTAAAAAGACATTTTAAAAAGTTCTTTTTAAAGTTTATTTACTGAGTTTTTTTTTAAGCATTTAAATTTGGTTTGGGGAGTGACGATAACAAAACGAAACCGATTAGTTTTTAGTAAACTTAATTTTGAAAATTAAGAAAACGTTAAAATCAAAATACCCAATTTAAGTTTGATTGTGAAACGATGAATTTACACAAACACCCAAAAAAAAAAAAAAAACAAAAAACAAAAAAAAACAAAAAAAAGAAGAATAGATTTCACAGTTCATAAAATCCT